GCGAGATCCGGCGCTACCAGAAGTCGACGGAGCTGCTGATCCGCAAGTTGCCGTTCCAGCGCCTGGTGCGCGAGATCGCGCAGGACTTCAAGACCGACCTGCGCTTCCAGAGCTCGGCCGTCATGGCGCTGCAGGAGGCGAGCGAGGCCTACCTGGTGGGCCTGTTCGAGGACACGAACCTGTGCGCCATCCACGCCAAGAGGGTCACCATCATGCCCAAGGACATCCAGCTGGCTCGCCGCATCCGCGGGGAGAGGGCATAAGTTGCTCTTCATGGTGCTTTATCAAAGGCTCTTTTCAGAGCCACCCATATCTGCATAGGGAGAGCTGCTTCCTTTTTAAATCTTGGCATTTTAGCGCCTTAACACTGGGCATGTTGGTTCTTAATTCCCCCTTTGTTTCGCTCGGTGTTTCTAAATGTATTGGTTTGACGACCACTTCTGGTAGGATTGTGCTTAAAAGGCTTGTGTCTAGTGCATACATGCTTTTGGTGGCCAGTACGTAGTCTAGTTTCTTGTAGGACTTTGGTTCTTTTAGGGATCTGCTGAAGGCCCACGGAGAGTTTAATGTCTTAACCCTGGTTGTAAGTTCCTATCTGCCCTTTTACTCCCTAGTAACTGGGTGTAGGCATACACGCCCGCGCCACCTGTGTTCTTGGTGCTCGGCCAGAATTGGGTCCCCTGCCACTTCAGCTCTGGAGGCTTGTGAGCCAGGAAGTGCATGCTGGGAATCTGACGTCTTCCGGGGGTGCCGACCCCAGGAAGGCAACTTGTGTTAGTATAATGTGTCCAAAAATCCCCAGAGAAACGATTCAGCCCGTGCAGAAACAGGAAGAACACCATGTGGAAGATGCGAACCTCATATCTAACTAGCCAGAGTACTAAAACCAGTTTTCTGTGACACGTGAGTGTTAGGAGTCTACCATCCGTTTTCCTTTACATCAAAGCATTCAACGTTTTCTGGCCCAGTGTTGGCCTATGGAACATCCCTGTCTCTACTTGTCAGTGAGCTCATTGGGAAAAACAAAGAAACAAACAAGAGCTAACTAACTAACTAACTAACTAACTAACTAACTAACTAACTAACTAAACTAAGTGCAAGAGGAAGAAGTTCTGGTCCCTAGCAATCAAGCACCTTCCTGTAACACTAGCATAATGGAGGCCAGCAGAGAGCTGAGACAAACTGGCTGCCTTAACCACTGCGTCCCTCAGCTGAGGGTTGGAGACTTCACCTTGATGGCATAAGGCAGACAGCTATCAGGCCAGTGCCAGCCTCTAGCCACACACGCACAACCTGCACCACGTAACTACACAGTAGCACACTCACCGCACACAGACACAAGAAAGGACTATGGGTATGACATCATAGCGCTTCCTATTGGAATTAACCCCTAAACAAAATAAAGTCTCTCCCCGAGAAAGGGACCTTCTGAAAAGGAAGGTGACTATTTTGGAATGAAGGCCCATGGGGACAGGGGTTGGATACAGGCTAAGACCATCTACGGACAGAGTGTAAGCAGTACATTCTTTCCTTCCACAGAGAGATACAAAGATCTATTACTCACTCCAGAAGGGCTCACACAGGTTTTAGCTTAGTTTAGTTTGTATTTGTTTGTGTTCGGGTTTGCTCTGACCAATACTCACAATTTTAAGCTTTCCATCAGTCTCACATTTTGAGCTCTCAGTTAGAATTAACATGAAATGCTTTTTACTGGCAGTGATCAGGCATGGCTACGTTTGTGTGAGTATTCTGTTCCTGACAACATTTCAAGTGACGGGACTATCACAGCAGTGTGCTCGTCTTCTAAACAAACCCTACACACTCCAGTACACTTCATCTCCCATAGAAGAACCTAGCTTTGCTTTGGTGAATGAAATGGCTACTCAGTGAGCGATGCCACGCTCTGAGGGCATAGCCTAGTGAGTAGGCAGTGATGTAGTTTATACAGCGGGTTCATAAATCACCCCACGAGACTGGGTCCACATGGGAGGTTTTATTAAGGGAAGGGGGAGGGGGTCACAGAGACTGTCTCTGGACAGGGTAGGAGAGAGAGAGAGAGAAGGACAGGGAGAGAAAGATATGGTGGGAGGAACTCGCTTTGCAGAAAAGGCTGGCCTCAAACTCTGAGACCAGCC